TCAAATTGGGTTTTAATCAGATTAAAAAAGGTAGGAAGAACGTGGCTGACATCTGATTTTTGCTTTAACAAATAGATCCACGTTACTCTTGTACAATCATCAGTGAATGACACAAACCATCTAGCACCGAAAATATGAGGAATGGAAGAGGGTCCCCAAACATCACTATGAATAAGAGAAAATGGAGTCTGACATCTTTTGTTGCTTATTGGAAAGGAAACACATTTATGTTTTGCAATTTCACAATCTTCACAATGAAAAGACTCAACAACCAAATCTTTGAATAAAGATGGAAACATTAGCTTGATTACATAAAAAGAAGGATGACCTAAGCGACGATGATAGAGCCAAACTCTCTCTTTATTGGACATAACAGATTCAGACAAGAATGAACTAGATAAGGAATTCTTAATTGTATCTCCACCATTGTGAAAATCCAGAAAATAAAGACCACCTTTCTCACTAACACGCCCAATCATCTCCTTCGTGTCCTGTTCCCGAAATGCACAATATGAAGAGAAAAAGGTTAGTTTGCATTTGGAATCTTTGGTGACTTTGTGGACAGAAATGAGATTTGCAAATAATTTTGGGACATGAAGAACATTCTTAAGTATTAAAGACTTTCCCAGTTCTATGTCTCCTTGGCCAGCTACAGTAATAACTAAACCATCGGCTATAGTTATTTTTTTATATCTAGGGCAAGGTGAATATGATATAAAGAGATGGGAGGAACAAGTCATATGATCAGTTGCCCGAAATCAACCACCCACATTGGAGAAAATTTGTCTCTAACATTAGCAACGAAAGTGGAAGTACCTGCAAAGTCCATTGAACAACTACCTGCCAAAGATGATATCTCCAGAGATTCCAGCGATGTCTTCAATTTCTCAATATCTTCTTTGTTGAATTCTGGGACTAATGGACTTTTTTCATCAATCTGAGGGCTGCTAGCAATGTGTGCCTGCTTTCCATCAAAAGTATTTTTGGTTGGAGGTTTACCATTGTGTTTCCAACATCTCTCTCTTGTGTGCCGGTACTTTTTGCAGTAAGTGCAGTAAATATTGTCCCTGTTGACAAGCGGTTTGAATGAACTTGCGGGCTTACGGTGCTCTCCAATTGTGAAACTCCAGACTCCTTTTTATTTGTCCCTTTTGTCATAAGAGCCGGTCCTTCATTTATTTGAGTTTTAAGCATAACACTCCTCCGTCCTTCCTCTGTCCGTTTGATGGCCATTGTCTCATTCAATGATGGCAGATCTTCTTTCCCTAAAATTTGCACTCGTGCAACATCAAACTCTGCATCTAGCCCTGCAAGAAAATCATAATCCTTTCTTTCTCAATAAATCTTTTTAAAATTACAGTATCGTCTGTGCAACGCATTTGAATGCATTGATAGTGAACCATCTCTTGCCATAACCCCTGTAATAGGTTAGAATATTCAGTGACAGATCGAGCTCCCTATTTTGTTGCAGATAATTTTGTTTTTATTTCATAGATCTTGGCAGCATCATGAACTTTAGAGTATGTCTCCTTCACTGCATCCCAAATTTCCTTAGCAGTATTCAGAAACATAACGGTATCACTAATTTTTGGAAGCATGGAGTTCCATAACCATGACATCACCATTGAATTATGTTCATCCCATGCATCAAACTTGGGGTCTTCTTTGGATGGTCCTGTACCGAGGAGATGTCCTAATTTTCCTTTACCTTTTAGAAAGGTACGAACAAGCTGAGACCATTTTAAATAATTTTTTCCATTCAACCGATAAGAGGCTTGAATATTTTATAAATCTCCAGTTGAAACCGCTCTACAGTGGTAGAAACATTTTCAGAGACTGGAGTATTCGCAATAGTACTCTTTTCGGACATGGTTTTTAAATGGTTTCAACCCTTGGGCGGATAAAGAGGACAAATGTGATGAAAAGATGGATGCATGAAAAAAAAATCAGTCAGTAATAAGCCTAACGCTCTGATACTATGTGGAAAGAGTAAGAAACTTGAATAATTTCATTCATGTCTTTGAATGTCATATATATGGCTTTATATACAAGAAGAGGTTAGAAATAGAATCTTCTAAATCCCATAAAATTTGGGATTATACAGAATAAAATAAAAAAAAAAGAATCAGAATTTGATATTCTAGATTACAACAATTATCTCTAAAATCTTAGAGGATCAGATCTTAATATGGAGAATATCTTCTTGGAAATCCTCTATCATTCAACAAAAGTAGATATAGGTTGAAAATTGGAGCCTCGTGCATTAAAAGCGAGCACGTGTTAAAAATAGTGGAACCCTGCGTTAAAAGTGCAGGTAGAATTTAAAGTAGAGCCCATGCGTCAAAAATAAACATTAGTTAAAATAGGAACCCATAAGCATGGGTTAAAAATAATTTTTGTTTGGCCAAATACATACATAGCCACCTTAAATTGTTCCGATTTTCACTTAAACACCTCCACTAATGAGGTTTCCTATTAGACACTTAAAGTACACGCAAACTGTATCTATTGAACACACATTGCTGACATGGCGCAGTGTATATTATACATTTCTTTTAGCGTGTGGAGTGACATATTAAGCTACTATATGTTTACTTAAATTTAGAGCTCTCTTTTGTGCTTGCCGGCGAATGAATTCCGCCGAGTTCTTTTCTCACTTTCATTACTTTTCTTCCTCTACTTCATACTTCTATGAATAGTAAATTTTCTCAACATACCAACACGATGTCAAATCTCGAAATAGTGAACTGAAGTCCAATACAAAAAGTTTAGTGGCTTTGCAAGTCCTTAGTCCAGTTCGACTCCGATTGTGAAGGCTGCAAAAGACAAAAGTTACTATTCCTTTTCTACCATCTTCGTTAGCTCTAAAAAGGTTCAAATGACAAAAGTTAAATAGCAGAAATCGAACCTTTAGCCTAAATATATATTAGGAGTAATAATGATGTTCAGGAGTGTTTGCTCTTTTAGGTTATCGATCTCAAGCTCGCGATTTGTTGAGTTCGACTTCAGCAGTGGTTCATTCGATGAAAATGCCGCCAAGAACTTTCTGAAGAAGATAACAACTGAAGATGAGGTGGGAAAGTGTTTTTATGGAATTAAGCCGATGGAGAGGGAAGAAGGGATTTCTGGTGAAGGAGATCACTACCGGGTGTGTGTGTTCTGAAGATAGCTTCTTGTTCATTTTTTTGGGCTCAAGATTCTTTTTTGTTGTAAATAATTGGACTCAAAGGCCACATGGCTTCATTTTATTGGTTGTCTTTGCCATATCACCACACTTTATTTATTTTGCTGGCTTGTAATGAAGGGTTCAACATATACACTTTACATGTACTTTACATGTTTAATAGGAAACATCGTCAGTTTAGGCGTCTAAGTGGAAAATCGTGACAACTTCAGGTGGCTATGTATGTATTTTGCCTTTTTGTTTTAAAGAAGTAGCACGAGGTATGTTGAAACTATGGTTGAGAATTTATCTCCACGTGTAGTATTTCAGACTTTCTCTTTTTTACAAATTGATATGAACCTGTCTTCAACCTCGCTTTGGCTATGGGGATAAAAAATAACAAGGCGCATGCGAAAACTAGTAAGCAAACCTTGGTGAAGATAAAAAAGAATTATACTAAAAAGCATATTTAATATTGTTTGGTCAATTGGCCTACACCAGTCTACTAATCTAAAAGAGAAAAGTACTTATGAGAGAATAAATATTCTCCCTAAACAAGACTCTCTTAAATACTACATTATGAATTCAATTGTTATGTGAAGGAGAATTTATTATTTTATAGAGATCAAAATCTTTTCCTCCAAGAATAAGATTTTTCAAATATGGAGAAGATCTATATTTTCCTTTAAGAAAAAGAAAAAGTATTTATGGTAAATATTTTTTCCTTCCTTCAAGTAATAGGTGAATCCAAATATGGTAAGAAAATTAGGGCAAGTCATAAAATAGAACTTGTGTTGGCTCACCATCTTTATTTTCGGCAACGGAAGCAAAATGAGCCCTTAAAACAAAATCAACATCAGTGTAGACAGAATTGCATTTCAGATTTTCTCAAGTATGGTCGTAAACCTCACCACGCAAAAGTGGCGGAGCCAAAATGAGAAGTTTATGAGTTCAAAACTCAAGTCATTTTAAGTTATTAAATTTTAAATAAATAATTTGTACATACAATTAATTAAATTTCTTAAGACAAATACAAAATTTGAACTTAAGTTATTGGGTTCACTCGAACCCACACCTCGATCTCTAGCTCCGCCCCTGCCATAAAGGTTCAACTAGCCATTGCATCCGGCCTGTGAAGCCTCTGCTACTTCCATTGATTTCTCTTCTTCTTCAGGTCTAAGGTTAGGTTTATGTAAATCTCAGTAGAGTAATTTTCATGCGCATATCATCAAGTTTGGGAGACTATATAGTTAGAGAAGAAGAGATATAGCGAAAGAATTTGAGAGGTTTTATTCCTCTAAGAGATAGACTTGTTTCCTATGGAACTCAAGAATATGATAGGTAATGGAATTGTTACGTACAAGAGGTTTGTTTCCCAACAAAGTGGTGCTAACATTCTAATATAATATGCAGTTTAGCTATGAATCGAGATCTAAGCACTTGCATTGAAGCAAAAGATGAAATCTAAGAGAGAATTTAGAGAGAGAAAGTAGAAAGAAGGAGAACTATTCTTATTGATCGTATATAATAAATGTATCTGAAATACTTCATGTGTGGGTATATAACCACCCTCTCCTGACGTGTCTAACAAATAGTGAGTTAGAAAAGACTAAACTTCCCTTACCCACTATCTTCCAATACTCCCCTTCAAGCTGGAGGGTGAAATATATCTGACACTTTAAGCTTGAAAAGTAAGTGACTATGCTAGGCTGTAGGTGTGCCTTTGGTTAACAAGTCTGCAAGCTGCGGAGAAGAAGGAACATGATCAGCTGCAATAAGGCTTGACTTGATCTTTTCTCTGATAAAATGGTAATCTATCTTGATGTGCTTTATTCTTTCATGGAAGATAGGATTCCCTGCTATCTAGATAGTTGTCTTGTTGCCACAGAGTAGGTTCACAGGTGTTTGATATCTGAATCCCCAATTCATCCAACAAGCCTGAAAGCCTTGTGACCTCAGCCACATCTGCTGCCATGCTTCTGTACTCCGCTTCTGCAAATCTTCTACTTATTTTTTGTTGCTTCTTAGACTTCCAGGAAATCAATGAGCTTCCTAGCTTTATTACATAGCCAATAACAGACCTCTTTATGTTTGGACAAGCAGCCCAATCAGAATCACAATAGGCAATGATACTGTCAATTGGACTTGCTTGAAGCAATACTCCTAAATCCGGAGATCCTTTTATATGTGCTGACTACCCTTAAAGCTACCTCCATATGTGAGTGTTTAAGCCTTTGCATGAATTGACTCAAACTCTGAACTGCAAAGCTTGTCGCACCCCGTTTTCTCGCGAAAGCGAGTTTCAACGTCGTGACATCTTCTTTGGAATGGGTGTTAGAGTGCTAAAAGAAGAAGAGTCGCCACCTAACGACTTTTAAGGTGCGTTAGGGCACCTATTATGCAGATAATCTGATTGACTAGTCTGTGCCACCAAAGATCGGGTAAGGGCTCAAATTACCTCAAAGAGAAGGTGTTAGGCACTCTTCGAGGTTCACAACTGTGGGTCCCGGCCGAACTTAAGATTATGTGGATTACAAGTAAGGTAGGTGATCAAATAAACAAAGGGAATTCAGAAGTCAAAGAACCTTATTACAACATGATTAATACTGATCTTAGTACGAATATACGGGTACAACTATTTAGATCTTATAACAACGTATAAAGAAAAACACGGGGGGGGGGGGGGGGGGGGGGACGGTCGTACGNNGGGGGGGGGGAGGGGCGTCCTAAGTTTTTTAGCCTAAAGGATCACCCCGTGCAACATAAATAATACTTCACAACTCCCTTGAGGTAGGGAGTTACTCATATTATTCAGTGGATACAGACTATCATCTCCTGCTACCCGATTACTATGTTAAAGTTGTTTACCTAAAAGCGCTCTAATTCAATTCTATGTCGTATCCTATGCATGCACTACCCGTTCCATGCCTATGGTCCAGGAGGTTTTGCACCTCTATTTGGGTGGTTCTAGACTTTACTTAGGTTGCTCAGAAATGTCAAAACTAGGCAACATACAAAAACATATTGGACTTCAAATATGGGCAGTCAAGGGCTCATGTTTGCCTCCACACTTAAGCAACAAATGCACGCAAGACAAATTTTCATGTTAATTCAGAATTAAGAACCTTAAGCCTTATAGACATGATTTCTATGTGACAATGCATCAAAGCATACAAGCAGTTTCAGAGGCTGGGCACTGCTCACATACAGGATTATATACGCTGATTATTGAGATTACAGGTTTCCAGTTATTAAACCTGTTGTGTCCAGGTGACTCGTGCAGTAAGGAATAGTGAAAAAACCATTGGGAGGAGCCCAGAATTACTTATGCTTGCTGACAGCGACAGGAACAAATAGTAAACGGCATTTTAGAGGTCCATCATTAACAAAACGAGTAATATACCCTATAGGCAGGATCTCTAACAGTTGACGCTTGGAACTCATTTTATTGTTATACTTAGTCCTATAGGCATGATTTCTAGTAAACAGTGCGATACAATAACAAATGAAATGATCAAAATCCTATAGGCATGATTTCTAGTGATCAGTGCGATACAGTAGCGAATGAAGTGATCAAAATCCTATAGGCATGATTTGAAGTGAATTGAAAGAAAGTTCATTGACATTTGTTCCTATAGGAAGGTTTTCTAGTAACACGTAGCAGTAAGAATAATTACTGCATTTGAATTCATATTTGCTAGCAGAGAGTGTGTGTGTTTGTGCTTCCCCTAATGAAATGATTCCTATGGTGCACATTGTGATTGAATAGCAAGTAAATCACAAAGTCCTATAGGCATGTTGTCTACCCCTTTTATACAAACATTAAGAACCTACCCATTCCCCATTTTACTAACACCCCGTTGTTCATTACAAAATTATTACAGGCCCAATAATAAAGTAATTACAAATGTGGTATAAATAATGACAGTAGGCCCACAACAGGCCCAAAAGAAATACCCAGCACTGTCTGGGCCTTCAGCAATTCTCATGCAGCATACCCAGACTTCCAACAAGGAGCCATATTCACCAACATAATCCAGAATCCATAGAAGAGCTCAAAGCCAAATCACATAACCATGTTTCCAAGCATTGAACCACATAAGCCCCAGCACATAATAAGAAGAAAGGGTTGAGTAGGATACTTCAAGTTTCAGAGAGTGACTACGGACCCAAATCCTAGTGTGTCAGAGTTCACAAGGGTCTCAAATGGACCCCGAGCGGTGCTCACACTATAGAGGTCAGTAGTAAGAGCCTTAGTAGCCTTGGCTTTCAGCCGGCTAAGAATGAAAAGCTCAGAATAGTATAGGTAACAAATGAGGGAGAATGGATAGTGGTTGAGGGGCAGAAGTTGGGAATATACTTATAACCTAAAGTAGACATAGCCAAGTTGAGCATACAGAGCAGCTAATCAAGCAGGTCACATAACTTAGAAGCAGATTCAGTAGGATTTCGACGCTTAGCAAAGTAGCACATAACAGTCACATATTGAAAGAGTTAGGAGAGAAACAAGTTTGCAAGAGGTTATCATGCATAGATACACAATACTAAACAATTTGAAACCCTAAGAGGTCCAAATTATGCTAAGTATACATCCTATTGTCATAAGACAAACATGTTAACTCTCATCAAGAAGCAAGACTGCATTGAGACATGATAAGGAGCACACGTTGTGACAAGCCAAATAATCATTGAAGGAATAGGGGATTAGGTGAGCTAAAGACATACTGAGGGACATATTATCAGGGAAGCAAGATCATAGTTAATAAAAAAAGGTCTTAACACAGGTTAAAACACATGATATATACATGACAAACATTACAGAGATTCAGAACAGAGTGGAAATATAAGCTCATGCCACACAACACATGTAGGTATTCTAGCATTGACACAGTAGACTAATTACCTAAAGAAGGTCCAGATTATGTTAGAGATTCACCCTAATATCGTGAGGCAGTTCAAACAAATTGAGATGACTTTTCCAAAACTCAAACAGTCACTAAAAGGGGTATGAGATCAAGTGAGCATGCTTAGTGACAAAATAGCAGAGAATCATCATAATTAACACAGGATGTTCTAACACAAGTGTGAAGCGTTCATTATAGAGATTCAGGACAAAGCAAGTAATATTTATCAACATTCAGGAACCAATACATTAGTTAAAAGAGCTTAGGAGGGTCATATTATCCCAGTTAAACTTAGGCAATCTCAGAACTAGTAGCATTATGAGAAGCTAAATGCTAAAGAGACTTAAAACAAAGCAAAGTTGACAGAGTCGTGCATAAAAGTAACCTACAAACACATTAGGCCATGGGTTTCAGAGGTGTGAACACATGCAAATCAAAGACTCATAAGGATGAAATTGCAAAAGTCAAGTGGCTTACCAGTTAAATGGACAACAATAAAGAACAAAAGATCCACAAGAACCCAGAACCTTAATGCGTCGAAGTTCCCAAGAGCTTCACAAGAACCTCGGCAATGCTGCACAAAGAGAAAGTTCGAACAATAGCTCTCAGTTTAAAGAATAAGATAATGAAGGAATAATAGATAAAGCTTCAAATTATTAGTGAGATTATCGACTAAAAGTCCACTCTCAAAGGGGATGGGGAGGGGTTTATATAGTGATAGAAATCAAACAAGTAAACAAGGAAAACTATAAAAATCAAACATAAATAAGGAAGTATTAACATGCAGAATTATTAGAAAATTGGATTAGGGGAAAATGGTAAACCCTAGTTGACCGAAATCAAAGATTGACTGGAAATCTTGGCTAATCAAACCCAATATAGCCTGTCCATGATTTATATGGACGAGATATCATCCAGATTTAGACGATTGACATTGGACGGCTTAGAAATTGAGAGGTAGTACTTGCCATATTTAGGCAAGTACTAAGTGATACCATGAAGAAACACCCAGTAGCGGAGGAGCACTAATATGGTAAGTAAATAATGGGAGAATCCCATGGCTATGGGATTAGAAAGGGGGATTGGTGAAGGGAGGCGATTAGGGTTCTTCAGATAGAGGCGAGACAGAGAGAGTTTAGAGGCGAAGTCTCAAGGGAAATGGGGTTAGGGTTTCTGGGTTGGGGTTAATTAAAAGAGGAGAGTGAACGAGGGTCGCTGATCTTAAAAGATCAACGGCCAGGATTACAAATAAATGGGGCGGGTCAATTAGAACGGGTACCGATCGAGTTTTAGGTTAAGGGGTTATTTGATTTGGGCTGGGGTTATTGGGCTAAGGTACTGGGCCAATTTGTTCCGAAAAAATCACTCACAATTGGGCCAGCCTTTTAAACACATATAATTTAGCAAAATAATGTATAAAAATTATTAGTAAATGATTTTTATGCACTAAAATGACTAAGAATAATGATTTAACATTATAAAAATATAAAATACTATTTTTAACACAAATAGTATAAATAAGGAGCATTTGTATATGAATATAGGCTATTATTGTAAAATTAGATAAATAAATTAAAGAATGCTAATGTAATTATACGAAATAAAATAAAATATTTGAAACATATATTATAGGTGCATAATTTTAGGTAACTAAGTCATCAAAAAAATAATTTGAAGGAGTAATTAATAATTATTTAAGTAATTTAAATGCAGGAAAAATCAATTTAAATGCTCTAAAAATTATCGAAAATTGATGTTTTGAAAGCATATATATATTTTACAAAAATATGAGGGCAAAATTGGGTATCAACAAAGCTTATATCTGGTTGTGTAATTATTAAGTATAAGAGCTTGCCAATCAACTGTTGGTACGTTGTGATGTCTGCTAACTTTGGATCACCTGATTTCCCAACATAAGATTCATAATCTGTAGTGGTCAATCTCTGATTAAGTTCCGGAGGTGTAGTAACATGCTTAGATCCACTCAGCCCAACTTGTGAAATCAATTGCAGGGTATGTTTTCTTTGATTGAGTAAGATTCCCCTCTTTGATCTCATCACTTCTATTCCAAGAAAGTGTCTCAACTCTCCCAGATCTTTAACTTTAAACTGACTATGCAAAGTCATTTTTGCATCTTGTACTAGTGAAGATTTACTTCCAGTGATGAGTAAATCATCCACATAGATGAGGATAATTACCATCTCAATCCCTTGTTTCTTGGTGAAAAGAGAATTGATCAAAAGCACTTTGTTCATATCCACTATTAAGCAAGGTTCAGTTAGATTGATATTTCATTGTCGTGAGGCTTGTTCAAGCCCATAAAGTGATTTCAAAAGTGTACACACTTTCTTCTCCCCCTGTATGTGAAATCCTTGCGGCAAACTCACGTATACCTCTTCATATAGGTCACCTTGTAGGAAGGCATTGTTAATATCCATCTGGAATAGCAGCTATGCTAATGATTGTCCTCATTGTGACCATTTTAGCCACATGTGAGAATATGTCATGATAGTCAAGTCCTTCTTTTGGGTGTATCCTTTAGCAACTAGCCTTGCTTTGAATCTCTCTACTTCTCCATTTGCTATATATTTAATTTTATACACCCATTTGGATCCAATAGCTTGTTTCCCTACTGGTAGATCTACTATCTCCCAAGTATGATTATCATCTAAAGCCTATATTTCTTGTTTCATAGCCTCAATCCACTTGTTGTCTTGAGAAGCTTCCTTAAAAGAGCTAGGTTCAATACAAGTTGAAAAGGCCATCAAATAAGATGGATATCCAACTGTGAGATTAGCATAAAACAAACCATTGGACAATGGATATGAATACTTCCCAATAAATTTCTTGTTTGTCTCATAGTCTTTCAACCAAATTGGCGGCTTAGATGTTCTAACTGATTTATTTGTGCCTTGGACCACATCAGAAGCTTGATCTCCCATCAATGGTGCATGAGAGAGGTCTAAGAATTCTGTATTTTCATTTGCAGGGATTTGTTTTGTAGGTATATGTCTTCTATTGGCTGAACTGAACTATTAATAGTTTCATTAGTATCTGGCACAGTGACTTGTTCTATAAGTGTTGCTTCTGTTGATTGAGCATAATCACTTATAGTGTGAATAGATTCTGGGACACCTGCTTCTATTTGAGGGGGAGTTGCATCCTCTTGTACATAGTACTTAACATTGTTCTTAAGGAAGACCTTTGTTGGATACTGTGAAATAGATGACTGCAGAGGAAACAATTCATTCTAGTCTGATGCTAGTTCCTTGAAAGGGAATACATGTTCTCTAAATGACACATCCATGCTCACAAAAAATGACTTGGTCTATAAATCATATATGTTATGACCCGGAATCCCAACCTCGGGGTCATGATGGCGCCTAACATCTACTTACTAGGAAAGCCGACATGAAACAGAAAATTAACTAATTCTAACAATTCAAAATAAAATATTAACAATGATAACGGTATAAGTCGGAAGTAGAGTGAAATAATACCGTACAACTAAGTCTAAACAAAACCCAGAACCTGGAGTCACGAGTACATGAACATCTAGAGTACTACAAATAAAGTCTGAACAAAATACACTGTTTTGAAACTCAATAAAACAGTAAAGATAGAAGGGAAGGGGACTTCACGGCTGTGGACATCGTGCAACTATACCTCAAGTCTCTGACAGCGACTGAATCCAAGTAAAAGCTACTGAGTGCTGCTAGGTACAACTCTAGTATCTGTACAAGAAGTGCAAAGTGTAGTATGAGTACAATCGAACCCCTTTACTCTGTAAGTGCTGAGCCTAACCTCGATGAACAAGTGGCGAGGCTCAAGTGGGCCATTTACAATAATCTGTACGCAGTGGTAATGATGATAACAGGAAAAGAAACAGGAATCGGAAGGAAATCAATTAACTCATGAAAGTAAACTTAAACCACATTATCAAAAAGCCCAGAATAATACGTCTCATAACCTCATATAAAAATGTCGAGGCCAACTCAACAATAATGACAAGTACAACATATACAAACCGTTGCGGCGCGCAACCCGATCCCACCACGTCATCATTTATCAATGTCAAGTACCATATATACAATCCGTTGTGGCGCACAATACGATCCCACCATATTATTATTTGTCAATGTCAAGTACCACATATACAATCCGTTGCAGCGTGCAACCCGATCCCACCATATCATCATTTATCAATGTCAAAATCCGTCCTTATTCCACCATTTTAATTCGTTACCTTTCAATTTCAGTTGCTGCGTGCAACCCGCTCCCCAAAAAATTTAAATTAACATAAAAAATCTGATATCCCAATTTACAAGAATTTATACATCAAGAGAGTAAAAGTACAAGGCAATAAAGGACCACATAATAATCAAAGAATCTCTAACAATTCGAAGTTTCAACTTTACAAGTTTATCGGTATCTAACAAACTAAACAAACTCACGCAAATGAAACTACACCATAGAATGCAACAAATATTACAAAAACAACAGGACAATTAAGACATGTGACACTCAAGATGTGCAAGTAAAACAATTAAAGGCAAGTATAAGCATGGAGTCATGCAAGGGACGAACAATTTAGTACGAGAATAATTAAATAACAATAAATAATTATGGCATAGAATTCAATATAGCATGTAACAATTAAGGCATGGAATAACGTAATTCATGAAATAACGAAAAACATGGAAAACAGATATCTTGATGACGTATATACACTCGTCACCTCGCATATACACCATTTTCTCACATAATCCACACATCACATAGTTCGAAAAATCCTAATTCCCATAAGTCCAGGTTAGATTCAACACTTACCTCACTCTGCAATCAAATCAAAACTCAACCAGGGCCTTTCCTCTAGAATTAGCCTCCAAACCAATTAAATATAACCAAATATTCAAACAATTCAAAATAAGCTTTAGAAACTACACATGAGTGAAAAAGATTCAATCTTTGATGATTTTGGAAAAAGTAAACAAAAGTCAACCCCGGGCTCGCTTGGTCAAAATCCAAGATTACGACCAAAACCCAATTACCCATTTATCCCCCCCTCCCCCCGGTTATGTGATTAGTTTCGAAATCTGGCCTCAATTTGAGGTCTAAATCTCAATTTCTCAAAATCCTAATTTTCTACCAAAAACCCTAATTTCTACCACGGAAAAGTATAGATTGAAGGTTAAAATCAATGGGTGTTTGTGGAAATGGAAGAAAACAAGTCAAAAATTACTAACCTATGAAGTTGGGGTGAAAAACCTCTTCAAAATCACCTCTAGGCCGAGCTCAAACGTGGAAATGGTAAAAATGGGATAAATCCCGGGTTTGAGACATTTAAATCACTCGGCGTCAGGACTTTTTCGCATTTGCAAAGGGCCTGACGCGATCGCAAAGTCGCGGCCCAAATGGCCTTCGCGTTCGCGAGAAACATTGCGCGTTCGTGATGGCCTATCCCTCCCGGCCTTCGTATTTGTGAGCCTAGGCTCACGTTCGCGTAGAGCATCTGACCGACTCCCCCCAGAATCTCATAACCCTATGCTTTCGTGAGAGGCTGGTCGCGTTCGCGAAGGGTAAACCCCCTAGTGCTTCGCATTCGCGACCAAGCCATCGTGTTCGCGATGAAGGAGTTCAGCCCCTGTCCCAATTTCCCCTTCCCGATCGCAAGAGTACTTTTGTGATCGTGAAGCACAAAATGACAGCCTGTCCCCCCTGGCCTTCGCGTTCGCGTAGAGCATCTGACCAACTCCCCCATAATCCTATTAACCTATGCGTTCGCGAGAGGCTGATCGCGTTCGCGAAGGGTAAAATCCCCAGTGCTTCGCTTTCGCGACCAAGCCATCGTGTTCGCGATGAAGGAGTTCAGCCCCCGTCCCAATTTTCCCTTCCCGATCGCGAGAGTACCTTCGCGATCGTGAAGCACAAAATGACATATACTAGAAATAGCAAAACCAATAGATTTTTAAGTCCAAAATAGATCCATAAACTATCCGAAACTCACCCGAGCCCTTCGGGCTCCAAAACCAAACATGAACACCAGTGTAATTGTCACGACCCCAAACTCCCTTCGTAGGATGTCGTGATGGCACCTAGTTTCTAAGGCTAGGTAAGCCAATTACTATACAATTAAGCCAGTTTTAACAATGATAATTTGAAACTTGGTTTAACATAAATACCGAAACAAGAGCGGAATAAGCTTACGCAGCATAATCAAAACAATCTCCCATAATTTGGTAATAAAGAGTTACGAACTCTAGCCAAGTACATGGAAAGATCGAAATACAATACTGTTTCAATAACAAGCTGACAGTACAATGTAAGGGAAGGACTCCAAGGGACTGCGACGACCAATGAGCTCTACCTTGAAACCTCGCGATCAATAAGCTAACTCTGCCCGAGTCTGATATCTCCAATACTTGGTTCTGCACAAAAATATGCAGAAGTGTAGTATTAGTACACCACGGTCGGTACCCAGTAAGTATCAACACTAACCTTGGTGGAGTAGTGACAAGGTACAAGTCAAGACACTCACTAGACAAATAACTTGTGCAGTATAGAAGTATAAAGCTAATAATTTAAGCAGAAATCAGTAAATGGCAACAAGAATAAACATGTGATATAAACAACATGTCAATAGGAACACCATGAAAATACTGTTGAAACCAAATAAGGAACACAATGACAACCAATAAATCGAGTCGTTGTAACACAAGTTTGACAACGAAATCACCCCGCTTCATCTCATAGTCACAAGTCATGGGTCTCAACCCACCATCATATACTCACGACACCTCCTGCCCACATCTCGAATCACAACCGCACGGACAACTCACATGCCAATATCTCAATCCGCCTGGCATGATCACAGGCTCACATTTACAATCCGCCCGGCATGGTCACAGGCTCACAATCACAATCCATCCGGCATGGTCACAGGCTCAATATCAACTTAAAAATAGATAATACGAGAACACATGGGCATGATCAATAATGTCAAGTTTCATACTCCTGAGCTAGTTTAAGTGGCGTGCTACGGTGTATGCTTGTGCAAGTGTACTACTATAGCCCAAATCAACAAGTAATATCAAAGATATCGAGTAGCTCATCGAAACAACACAACAAATCATGTAAGGTGTATGACATACCCAATGAAAAGTACACCATCACATGAATATCACCAACAAGATGTCCCCAAGCCATCACACATCATCCCGGACATTGCCACCCTTATCTCTGATAGCCACCCTTA